GAATATTTCAACATGTCAAGGTTGCTGCATATTCAGATCTCTTTCTGGCTTGACAATTCACATTCTGTTATATAATTACCACATTAGTAATAATGCTGTTTAATAATGGTGCTTATGATACAAAGCATCTCTAGTTAATAATTCTGTCCTTGCATCATTAAAGGGCATCTCTCTGGAGCTCTACTTGGTAAAGATGTTTATTTTTCTTCCTAGTTGCTTACAATTTTCAGATGCAGTTCTCTTGGCTGAACTGAAGGCAGGGAGATACGGTGGGGACCTGGACTGAAACTACTTCCCTGTGTCCTGAGTTCAAGACCTAGATCAGCTTTGAAGTCCTGATAAGTCTTCTAATTAACTTGAGTCCCACAACCCCCTTACTGATGAATGCCATTTTTATCTTCAAAATCAAGGAAACTCTCCAAATTCCTTACAAAAAAAAAAATAAAATAAAAAACCATACACAAATCCTCATTTTTAGAGCTTGGTGTCATTGCTCCAGAGAAATGTTGATTCTAGAGTTTGCTTCCACTTGTAGACGGTTCCCACACTGCTGGACACCACCTGCCCACCCGAGCAGTGTGGAGCAGTGGTTGAAATGGTGAGTTGTGGACACTGCCGGGTTGGACTCTGCTTTCCGGTGCCGACCTCAGGCAGGTGATTGACATTTTCCAAGCTTCCTTTTCCTTGTGTTCATCACATAGATGATCCTGATGCCCAGGGACATGATGAAGATCAGATCAAGTGAGGTTCCTAGTGCCAGCCTCATGGTGTCTAACTTAATAAAAAGTCCCACAATAGCAGTAGTTGTCAACATCTTCCTCTTTTTCTATTAACAAGATGGACTTAACTCAGATAGTTACAAGACCCTACACACAAATGTTTTAAAAAACACTTGGGATGAGGGAATTGTGACCCACTGAGCAAATTAATTGTAGGATTCATTGACATTATGGTCTTTGTGAGTTAGGAGCTGATATGGTTGTAGGCTGTTTAAATAGAAACTAGAATGTATGTCTGTAGCCAAGGTTGATCTACCCCATCTGCCTTTTGTACTTTGTGTAGACATCACAGTTAGATGGTGAAGAGAAACATTTATAAGCTTAATTTTCTGAGGAAGCAGCTGTGCCGTTTTCCTTCATAGTGAATACATTAATTCTTTGACTCTCATCAAGTCTTTTTTGATCTCTTGTTATAAGACAGTACTTCAAAAAGTTCATGGGAAAAGTGGAATTAAAGATGTTTATTTCTGGGGCTGGGGCTGTGGTATAGCAGGTAAAGCCACTGCCTGCAGTGTCAGCATCCCGCATGGGTGCCAGGTCAAGTCTCAGCTGTTCCACTTCTGATCCAGCTCTCTGCTATGGCCTGGGAAACCAGTAGAAGGTGGCCCAAGTCCTTGGGCCCCTGCGCCCGTGTGGGAAACCCTGGAGAAACTCCTGGCTTCGGATCGGCCCAGCTCTGGCCATTTGGGGAGTGAACCAGCAGATGGAAAACCTTTCTGTCTCTTTCTCTCACGGTAACTCTACCGCTCAAATAAATAAACATCTTTAAAAAAGACATTTATTTCAGTGCAAAAGTTCTTGACACCCAGGCTTTTCATAATATGTATTTTTCATGAGCTTTTTAAAAACCCTCATATGAAAAAGTCTCTGCCAGCTGATTGGAAGAAGGAAAAGAACATGTGTGTCTGCCACCTAAGCATTCCTGGCACAGTGAGGAGCAATTAGAGTGGTAGGTGCTCTGATTGAGGTAGTAGAGTGAGGCAGGTGTTTGACTCAGTGGCTAAGACCCCAGCATCCGGTATCACAGCACCTGTTGCTAGTCCTGCTTCCTCAACTTCCAATTCAGCTTCCTGCTAGTGTGCTCCCTGGGAGGCAGCAGGTGATGGCTCAAATACTTGGTCCCTGTCATCCATGGGGGGCACCCAGATTGGGTTTCAGGATGTTGGCTAAATGTGGGCATTTGGATAGTGAATCCCCAGATAGAAGAGCTCTCTATTATTCCTCTCTTTCTCTTTCTGTCCCTCCCTTTCTTCTTTGCCTTTCCAATAAAGTGAAAATAAATATAAAAGAGAAAAGTGAAGGCTTATATTTGAGCAGTCCTAAATATGAACTATAAAAGGATCAAAGGAGTTAAAATTTAGTTCCAATCTTGAAGATTCCAGTTGTGTAGTGTTCATTGGGTAGAAACACTGACAGCATCCCTGGTTAAGGCAAAAGTTTGTGTGAAGATATACCAGCATAGAGAACATGACAAATACAAACCATGGGAAGCTGTCTCTGAGCTGTCCCATCCTTTCCTGGCTACAGGACCTTGATAACCTACCTTGGAGATGTAGTTTTCTCACAGGTAAAATGGGATCTTAGTATTCTTTTACATTGTTGGTTGCAAATAGTTTCTTCCTGTCCATGCTGTCAGGATGTCTGTTTTGCAACATTGTTGGAGGACTTAGTTATGTAGAAAAGGTTAGTCTGCTTGATGCACAGTAGGTGCTCAACCAGTGTGGTGCCCTGCATTCTTTCTGGTTAGAGAAAGAGCTGCCACTCTAATCCAGCCTGGAGTATAGATGGCATTTGTGATTTCTATGCCCATTAGAAAAAGCAGATCAAGAAGTGTTTTAACTGTTTTCATTGCTTAGAATGAAACATGAGCAGGGCCAGCGTTATGGCAGAGTGGGTTTAGCCACTGCCTGTGACATCAGCATCCCATATGAGTACCAGTTCCAGTCCTGGGTGCTCCACTTCTGATCTAGCTCCCTGCTAATGCCCCTGGGGAAGCAGATGATGATGTTCCAAATACTTGCACCCTGTACCCCACATGGGAGATGGGAATGGAGTTCCTGGCTCCTGGGTTTTACCAGGGCCATTGCAGCCATTTGGGGAGTGAACCAGTGATGGAACATCTCTCTGTTTCTCTCTTTCTCTCTCTGCCTCTATCTATGCCTTTCAAATAAATAAATCTTAAAAGAATGAAACTTGAGCTTTTATCTGTATACACTTACCACCATTCTCTCCCAACCACTACAAGCTTCTTTTCAACTAGGACTGTAGAGTTAGCTTATGCCTTGGAGCTAGGCTCTTCTGAAAGGAGCTCAGCCCACTTGGAATGCTCTTGTTGGAAGAGGCCCACATTCCTACATCTGCAAGATAGTTTCTCCACCCATTTTAGGCCATGGGTCCTGCTCCAGTGATTGCTTCAGTCTTAGCTATTGAAATGAGTCAAAGGCGGAAAAAATGATTTGCAAAGTATATTGAAGTTAATTTGAAATCTTGGAGCATTTAAGTGTGAGCCCATTACTTTGGGGGGGAATCTGTTACAGAATTTTATTCTCTTGATGCTTCTGGTATTATAGGCTTTTACATTTCTTTTTAATTTGAAAGAATTTACCATAATATTATAACTTGGTACAGGCAAAATTATCCCTTTTGTAAATATCGTACCAGTTTGTTGCACAAATGAATACCAGTGTCCTCCCCCTTTAGACCCTCTCTTCCGCATGGATTTCAAAGATCTTAGGCAATTTTGTTGCAATGTCCCACAAAGCATGGAAAGATTCTGCATGTCGCTGGTGAGCAGCAGCAAAACATTTAATTACTTTAGGTTTTGGGCATTGCAAAGAAAAATACTGGATTAGGGGCCAAGCCAGGCCTATTGGTTTGTAGTACACTCAGATTAGGCCAGATATAGGCGTTCTCACTAGGCCATGAAGACTTGGCCTTAGTCAGAACTCGTTTGAGGGAATTGTTTATTCTGGGCATTCCTTCAGTGCGTTTTTCTACGTTTTGTCAATTAAATTGATTATTTCATTCACTGTGCTGTGCAGGAGGGAAGCTGGTTGATTCATGTTCCTCAGCCTCATGTGTAAAGAATGTCTCTGGATAGCTAGTTTAAATTCACGTTCTTCAACATGACGTCCAGTGTGACGCCCAGAATCTGCATTGTAGTAGCCCTCGCAGGTGAGATGGTGCTGAGGCTCCCAAGCTTGCTTCCATCTTTGGTGAATGCATTGACTAAGAATCTCTGCAGAACAGTAATCTCTTTGCACCTCATCATTACTGCTCAAGTGTCTAGACAAATCTACAATCTAGCCCACTCCTTGATTTCAACCAACTCAGCTTACCTTTCTAGTTTTTTTTAACCTATGAACTAGAGACTGAGCTAGATTTTTTTTTTGTGTTCCTTAATTTGATAACTTTTTTTCTGTTTCACATATAAATCCAGGTTAATCTAAAAGAACATCTTTGGAACCTTTATACAGTAAAGTCCTTCTTTGAAGAGATGGACGGTTAAATAAACCCTGCTGAAAGTTCTGTAAAATTATTAGGGGCTCTAGGGTGTCAATCTGTTTACCTTCTATGTTACCTACCCACGTTAACTACCTACCTACCTTCTATGTTACCCTCTTAAGGCGAGAGATACAATGGGTGGATAATTTCAACTCTAGGAAGGTGAGCTGAGAAGGTTTATAGAGACCTGGGCAGAGACTAAGCTACCTTTTGTATTTACTGTTTGTAAATCACCAGCTGCATATTTCAGTAGGAGAACTCTGCTGTAAGTAGCTCTCCTTAATCCCCTCTCCAGGCAAAGTTAAGTGAATCCTGCACTGTGCTGGTTTCCAGGGTCCTTGTTGGGAACCAGGCCTCAGCCCCTCTCACTTTGTAATAAGGGAAGTCCCATGCATTGTGGGCATCACAGAGCAGGAGCTGAGGCCTTCATCTCTCTCTCAGGTGGAGAACAGAGTCAGGTGAACAGGAGGGAATCATGCAAATATTTTTGAAGTGAATCAACAACCACTTTCCAAATCACTGTTGAAACAGAATCCCTTTTCTGTAATATACTTCATAATTTTCTTTTTTTATTTTATTTTATTTATTTTTTGACAGGCAGAGTGGACAGTGAGAGAGAGAGACAGAGAGAAAGGTCTTTTTTTGCCATTGGTTCACCCTCCAATGGCCACCGTGGCTGGCGCGCTGCGGCCGGCGCACTGCGCTGATCCGATGGCAGGAGCCAGGTGCTTCTCCTGGTCTCCCATGGGGTGCAGGGCCCAAGAACTTGGGCCATCCTCCACTGCACTCCCGGGCCACAGCAGAGAGCTGGCCTGGAAGAGGGGCAACCGGGACAGAATCCGGCGCCCTGACCGGCACTAGAACCCGGTGTGCCGGCACCGCTAGGCGGAGGATTAGCCTAGTGAGCCGCGGCGCCGGCCCATAATTTTCTTTATGTTCAACGTGAGGAACTCTGTACAGATTCCACTGATCCTCTTTTGAGCACTGCAATATGTTTGATTGCAATCATTATTTAGAATGGAAGAATAAAAGAACTTTTCATAGCATTGTTCTTTTTATTCTTTAAGTTTAGAGACACAGCGACATACAGGTATACAGGTCATTATTTTTCCTCTTCTTGGGCACTGGAAAGTGAGCTTTTGAAGCACCCTCTTGATGTGCATGTTGATTTCTATGAGCAAAAACTACCAGCAGGAAGGGTGTCCTTTTTTCAGTGAGATCACAGAGATAAACAAGTTAGAGCTACTCTCTTGAATAGCTAATGTAAGTCGCCTGGAGAAGGAGAAAATTATTTTCTGCCCTCTGTGTTGATGTGTATAGAACATGTGTTCTGAGGAGCTGCTATTTTCAGTGCCTCTTTTCCAGTTGAGGTGCAACATAAACTATTTTAATTAATATTGTGTCACCAAAAGGGATTGAAATAGCCAATTGAGTTCTGCCAAGATAGAGTCTTTTGATGAAAACATATCTTTATTGATTGTGGACGAAGAAAATCATTCTTAAAATGAAATCCAGAGAAAAATCATATCCCTCGGAGAAAATTTCTGAGTGGCAGGCTGAGATTAACATCATAAAATTGAATTTGTGCTGCAAGCCTTTGATGTAATCAGCAGCTGGGAGATGGTGTTGCCCTTGCTGTGCTGTCTCTGATTGTGGTGAATTATTGTGTGGAATGAAATAAGTGTTTCTCGTGTCCCTCCTCCAAGAAATACAAACAAGGTATTACTAGAGAGTTTCTTGCTAGTTAAAACGGGTTGGATCGATCCCATGCCTCTTAGGTTCTCATACTTCCATGAACTATAGGAGTTGGGCATTCATTTGTGCCCTGGGGGCAGAATGTCTTGATATCACTGGACAGTGACTTCTTTGGTCAGTAGAAACCCAGCAGAGCAGAGTTAAGATGGGTTCCCCTTGCCTGCGCCTTGCAGAGATCAGGATATGTGAAAAAGCAGGCATTTGGTCAGGCAGTTACACCACCGCTTGGGATGCCCACGTCCTGCATCAGAGTGCCTGAGTTCAGGTTTCAGCTCTGTTCCCAGTTCTAGCTTCCTGCTAATGTGCACCCTGCGTGGTAGAAGGTGATGACTGCAATGTCTGGACTGTTTCCACCCATGTGGGAGATCTAGATTGGGTTCCTGGCTCTTTTTGACTTTGGCTTGGCCCAGCTTCAGCTATTGCAGGCATTTGGGGAGTACATCAGCCGAGATACGAGATCTCTTTCTCCTCATCTCCCTCTCCTCCTCCTTTACCTCCCTCTCAAGTAAATAATTCTTGTAACAGATGGGAGTGCCACATATTGCCTTGGTTTTTGTTGGCCTGTTGGTCCTAGCAAGCCTTTCCCATTTCCCTCAGCTACCTTTTAGGACAGACTCTGCATTGCACTTGCCCGAGTGTCTAAGTCTCACCTTGTATTATGACTCCTGTTCCATGACGCCACTATTACAATGGGCTTTTTACTGTTTTTGTATTAACTCCTCATAGTTTGCCAACACTCTTGCCTGTGCATGTGTTTCCACACATGTAATGAGTAGGTTTTGTAGATTAAGTATAGAAGAATGTCCTTACAGATTCACCCTCAGACTAAGGATTACCATTTGGCAACTTCATCTCCCTTGCGGTTGAACCTAAATTGTGTTTGTTGTGTTTCATTGTCTTTAAAGAATCAGTGTGCTGGCTGGCTGTCCAGATCTGCACACATGCGATGACCTCATCATTATGGACTCTGACTTTCGAGCCTTTGGAAAAGCAGGATAAGCCTTGAGGTCAGACACATCTAAGGATGTAGTCCTGGCCTGGGAATTTAGATTTACCAAGCTTTCTTTTCCTGATAATATTAGTGGAGATGTTTAGACAAAATAAGAAAATAGATGGCCAACCTCCCAGTATGGTGTCTACAGCATGGTGGGCAATTAGTAAGCACTTGTGGAGTTTGTGCCTTAAGTCTGGGAAAAATGAGGCTGGCATTGTGGCACAGAGGATTAAGCCACCACCTGCAATGTCGGTATCCCATATTGGAGCACTGGTTTGTGTCATGGCTGCTCCAGTTTCAATCCAGCTCACTGCTGATGTGCCTGGGAAAGCAGCAGCAGATGACACAAATGCTTGGGCCCTTGCAGCCATGTAGGAGATCTTGAGAAAGCTCCTGGCTTCAGCCCAGCCCAGCTCCAGCTGTTGTGGCCATTTGGGGAGTGAACCAGCAAATGGAAGGTCTCTTTAATTCTGTCTCTCCCTCTCTTTGTTACTCTGTATTCCAAATAAATCTCTTTTTAAAAAAAGACTTAGAAAAAGAGGATAGGACAAGTAAGGCAGAAAAATGAGGTGTATCTTCTGGAATTTCGGAAAGTTAAAGGAGCCAGGACTGAGAAAATTTCTGAATAATAAATAGATGAAGTAGGGAATATAGAAAAGGAATGGGGATTGTCTTGACCCATGAGAGAAAATCCATGAATAGCTCACTTCCTGTTTCCTGCGCCAGTGCTTCAATAGGCTGGAGATTCCAGAAAAATCTTTATTAAAAATGGAATATCCCGCCAATGCTGAAGTTCCTTGGAATTACGACCTGAAATTCTCTGCTTCCTCTGCCACTCTCTCCAAACCACCATGGAATTCTGCGTTCATCATAAACCTTGAGACGAATCTGTTTTCGCCTAGCTTCTGCTAGGAATCTGGAATGTAAGAGATAGGGTTAGAAGCTTCCTCAGCAGGTGTTCCTGATTGGTGGGCAGGCAGAAGATACTAGAATCATGAGCATGAAGGAGGCATCTCCAAACAGACTGTCCACGTAGGTCCCTAATCCTACCCCTGGGTATGCCTGCCATCTGCTTATTCTGAGACGAAAGGTGGGTTGTCATCAAAGCAGTGACCTGACTTCCCCTGTCAGCAGTGGAGGTGTTGAAGAAGGGAAGTCGATGTCGGAGTGGAGCAAGGAGATGACTGCCACTTGGAAAGGCATAGGGTGAGGGAGGAGCCACTGACAGCTGTGTCCGGGAAGCTCTCTGTGCTGTTGTACCTTGAGCATACTTTGGTCAGCCTGAATTTTTAGGTCCTTTACATTCTTAGGATTTATAGGTTGTAAATTCCTAGAGGGCAGGAATCTGGTTTTTCTTTTCTTTCTTTTTTTTTTTTCTACCTTTGCTTGAATAGTGCCTGAATGGATACCTGTTGAGTGCATAAATGAATAGTTTCTTTTCCCAGGGAGTCTGGTCTGTAATGTGGATGGAAAGGAGATGTATTACACAAAAGTAGAAAATAGAATTTGGCATGTGGCTAATTGTATGATTAGGACTAGAATTTAAACACACACATAATATAGAGATCCACATTCTGTCTTAAAAAAAAAAATCTGTCAGGTGGTAGATAGCTTTCTCAGATGAGGTAACAAACTAGCACATATCAAGCGGCTTGGACATCAGAATGGTATCACCGCAGGGTCTGGAGGCTGCAGGTGCGATCTCAGGGTGGGCTCCCACTGAGGACTGTGAGGACAAGCCTCTCCCATGCCTCTCCTCTCTCTTTGGTGGCTTTCTGGCAGCCTTTGTCACTCCTGTGGGTAGAGAACCAGCGCTTTGTCCGCCACCTTTTTCCTGTGACTGTCTCCCTGTGAACATCCCCCTCCGCATTTCCCTGTTTAGTATGGACCCCAGTCTTACTGGGTTAGGAGTTGCCCTAATCCAGTATGACCTTATTTGCATGTAATTCATGATACTGCCATCAACCTTTTTCCAAGAAAGGTCACACTCTGAGGTACCTGGGGTTAGGAATCAACTGATGAATTTTTGAAGTGGACTTACTTCAACCCATAATGAATAGGAAGGTGGTAGATTTTTTTTAAAAAAAATCAAGCTGTTTTTTATTGAAGTCTTTTTAAAAAGTAATTTATTTCTTAGATTGATTTTTCTATCTGATGGTTTACTCTCCAAATGGGCACAACAGGCAGGTTGAAGCCAGAAGCCAGGATTTTCATCTTGGTCTCCCACATGTGTAGCAGAGGCCCAAGTACTTGGGTTGTCTCTCACTTCCTTCTCAGGCACATTAGCAGGAAGCTGGATCAGAAGCAGGGTGTCAGGGACTTGAAATGGGATGCCAGCACTGTAAGCTGTGGCTCAACCCACTGCATGACAGCCCCTATCTTTGAAGTCTTAGCTTTATCTGCTCTGTTTAATCCACTGAATAGATAAAGTAGATTCTAAATTATGATGAATACATTGAAGGATTGTAAATGACAAATATTCCACTTACTTTATATTCTTTACTTAGAAGAATATACATATGTAAATGTGTGTGAGAATGAGGGGAGGTGAGGGAAGGAGATTGAATTAACCACTGGAAAAGCCTGCATCCCTTATCAGAGTGCCTGGTTCAAGTCCCAGCTACTCCACTTCCAATCTAGCTTTGTGGGGTTTAGGGGCTGGAGGGGAAGAATTGCCTCATTTGGTGTGGGATCTTTGAAAGGGTAGAGGAAAGGATTTGACTATGACAATGGATTGGAGCCTTGTTTCCCAATGTGCTTTAGGTAATACACAGCAAGCATTTATGCTGATAAATAAGTATTTGTTATAATCTACTATTTTGCAAATATAACAAGCACATTACAACTTATGATTTTATATGCACCCATAATTAAGTTGATGCCAAAGGATATAATTTGTACAACTTAATTTATTTGTGTGTAAGTTAATTTAATGAGTGAGTTAAAGGAATACAAGTATGTTAGACAAATAGTTTTCCAGATTGTTGTTGGATATGGTGAAAAATATGACTCAAGCCTGGAAGTACTTGCAGAATCCACACCCACAGAAACAATGCTTTTTCTCTTAATGCGAATACTTAAGGCTAACCATGAGCTGATTCAGTTGTAAAGACTGAGAAGAGCCTGAGTTTTTCTGTTTGTTTTGTTCTCTGTACTCCAACCCACCACCTTACCTAGGTCAGTTTGCAATAAAGATTTTTTTTTTAAATTTAAATAATAATGAATTAGAATGGTGGCCTTTTTTTGTTCACATTAGATGTCTGGCAGGTCAAGAAATAAAGAGAAACTACACAGAAAAATCAGTCCCTTTCACTGTCAATATTCATAGTTAAATGTAGCAGACACTAAGAAAAAGAAATTCCAGGGTGAGTGTTGGTCGCAGAGGTTAACACACCTGTAACCCATTGGAGTGTATCTGTTCGAGTCCTGGCTCCACTCTCCATTCTAGCTTCCTGCCAACAAGCACCATGGAGGTGGCAGATGATAGCTCAAGCACTAGGATCCCTGCCACTCAAGTTGGAGACCCCCTGAATTCCCAGCTCCTGACTTTGGCCTGGCCCACCCTTGGCTCTTACAGATATTTGGGGAGTGAGCCAGCAGACTGGAGACCCCTGGGTCTGCATGTCTGTTTCTTTCCTGCTTGAATAAAATTGAAAAATAAAAGAATGCCCTGCAGTCTAAAACTTTGAAATTTTCTGCAGGAAGATTGTAGTTCCATGAAGTTGTTCACTAACTGAATATAAATAAAAATGAAGGTGCCATAGAGAAAGCTGAATCATCCTCATAATTCTTGTAGCAGCCTAATGCTCGGCTCTTTGACACTGACTCTAAATGGAAAACACTGGTCTTTATTTGGTTATATTAGCTTTATTGCAGTACAGCTTAATGAGCAAACTGATGAAGTTGGAAGGAAAATCTTAGACCCACAGGCTGGAGGAGCTGTGAACTGTGATGGAAAACTCTTCCATGTAGTGACAGTAAGGTTTTTTTTTTTTTTTTTTTTTTTTTTTTTTTTTTAAGAGATTTATTTATTTTATTTGAAAGGCAGAGTTACAGAGAAGCAGAGAGAGAATGATCTTCCGTCTACTGGTTCACTCCCCAAGTGGGCACAACTGCCAGAGGTGGGCCGATCTAAAGCCAGGAACTTCTGGGTCTCCCAAGTGGGTGCAGGGGCCCAAGGACTTGGGTCATCATCTACTGCTTACCCAGGCCATAGCAGAGAGCTGGATCAGAAATGAGGCAGCCAGGACTCGAACTGGAGCCCATATGGGATGCCAGTGCTTCAGGTGGCAGATTCAGCCACTACACCACAGTGCTGGCCCCAAGGTTTTGTTTTTGGCTGCTCTGTTTTATATATATTCTAGATCAGGAGTTCTGAGATTAATTTGTATTTCTGTTTGATTACTCCCTTGATCTCTGGGCTATTTTAGCATTGACTTTACTTGCCAAGGTATACCCTACCTAACACATTATTTTCCAGAGTTTCCTAAGTAGTAATTAATCACTCAATTGTAACATTTCTGGAGGAGTTTCGCTTTGATGTAGGTTAGGGGTTAATTCTAAAATAGTCATGCTTCACTGGATAAACCAGGTGGAATTTTATGTGTTATTCAAATATGCCTTGGGCAGCCTTTGACTTTGTAGTAACTTTTTTTTTTTTAACCTTTACTAAGGAGTTACCTGATTACAATCTGTTGATAAAATAAGAAAGTTTGCTCTGGGGGCATTTGCAAAGATAGGTTTTGGGGGACATGGGCTTCTGCTGAGACCAGATCAGTTGTGCAAGAACCATGGGGTTCCCAGAGACACCAGGTGCTGCTGCTTGCTTCACTCTCTTCCCTGGTTAAAGTAGCTCTCAATTGGCACCCCCTACACCCACCCAAACCCCTCGCTTTCTGCATCATTCCTCAGTTTGCTTGTGTTCTTTGGGAGAAGGCAAAGTATAGCTTCATTGAAGGAACAAAGTATTGCAAACAGTAGCTGTATGAAGTAGGTTAAGCTACTTTTCTCAGCTCTCTAATACATTTTTTCAAGTTCATTAAGGTATAATTTCATACAACGAAATGCACCCATAAAAAGTGTACAAGTCAGTGAATTTTAGGAACCAAGTTCTTTTAATCTGCAACTCAACTCAAAATTTAAGAAAACTCCTAGGGATGCTGTTTGGCCCAGACTGCTGATGAGGATACTTAAATCCCACATAGGATTATGTGGGTTCAATTTCAAGATTCATTCCAACTGGAATTGATTCAAGCTGGATTCCCTGCAGACCCTGGGAAGCAGCAGGTGATGGCTCAAGGACTTGGTTTCTTGTCACCCATGTTGGCCACCTGGCTTGAGTTCCCAGCTTCTGGCTTCAGCTCTGAGCCTGGCCCTGGCCTTTGGGGACGTTTGAGGAGTGAATCAGCAGATGGGTGCTCTCTTTCTCTGTCACTAACACAAACATATTATTTAAAAAAAAAAAATCTCCCTCTGGCCTCAAGATGACCAAGTTAACTTTTTTGAAGGAAAGAGTTATACAGTCATTCATTTTCGCTCCTGACAGTGGCTCTGAGTTGGGAGGAAAGTTGATGAGATTCTTTTCCACTGCAGAGACTGGAGTCAGAGAGGTCACACAACTAGAAGTGGCAGATCTGAGACTCACATCCACATCTCTTTCATCCCAAAGCTCATATTATTTACTATTCCATTGTTAGCACTTCCCTCGCATGCGTTCACCTTGGTTGGAAGGTTATCAAAACCCTTGTGACTGAGAGCCTTATCCTTTGCATCTTTTGGTTGGCTGTCCTCAGTCAAGGAGTTCTAGGCTTGTTTGTGTTTGAGGCCTGTAAGGGGAGATTGAGTGTCTGGGCGTGTCACCAAAGAAGGCTTTTTAGAACAAGGTAAACAACTGCACAACAGACAACAACCACAACACCACATGTGCAGCTCCGTCATTCCTCTGCTGGGCTCAGCTAACTCAGGAACATAAAAACAAATTGTTGCAGGGGTGACTTTGCAGCTGGGCAGAAGGCCACGAGGCCCCACTGGAGCCTGCGTAATTAGTGGTTTTATTGTGTTTTTGTTTTTTTCTTTTTTTAAAGAATAACC